ACAGAGTAGTCCTAGAATCGAGCTGGAATTTTCAGCATATATACATTACTGAAACAGCGACGTCTACATTGGCTTGAGCATGTTGTGAGAATGGCTGATGGTTGGATTCCAAAAGATCTCCTGTATGTAGAATTAGTCTAGGGAAATCGCCCCAGAGGGAGACCACAGCTGTGATACAAGGATATCTGCAAGCGGGATCTGAAGGCCACAGGAATGGACCTCAACAGATGGGAAACCTTGACATCTGAGTGTTCAGCCTGGAGGCAGGTGGTGCATCATGGCAGCAAAACCAGGGAGCTGGACAGGGGACAGATTGGATTTGTCTCTAGTGTGGAAGGGATTGTCACTCTTGAATTAGCTTCCTCAGCTACACTAGACGATGTTCCAAGTCCTCCATACAGCACACGTTACCATAGTCTCTCATGACTGAAGGATGCCTAGCGAACTTGCAAAAGGGAAATACTGAAAATCTTGGTAGCAAACGTAATAAAGTGTTGTTTGCATTTCTGACAAGCACTGTCTGGGAATCAGCCATAAAAAGACATTTAAAATGAAACAAATACATATCTAAAACAATGCAGCCATTTCTAGCAGTGACTTTTCAAAGATTTCTTTTGCCCCAGGGCTGTTTGCTGATACTTGCAAACTCCTTTGTGTCAAAGACCTCCCTGCGCCTCTGAGATGGACGTGTAGATTGGAATGTAACCATTCCCCTGGATGTCGGCCTTCTCTGAAAGCTGTGATGCTTTACCAAAATACACATTTTCCATACCAACCTTCACAGGAGCAAACACTTAAATAGTAACTCAAAGTGACAATGTTCATTTAAAATATTTAAATATATGTATTAAAATGAATTTTAAAAATATAATCCCAATTAATGCTAAAATGAAGAAGATTACGTGAAAGGGAAGCACAGACCAAAAACAGACAGATTCAACCAACCCAGTTTTCATCAGAGGCAAATGTTACTATTTTAAGATGGAGAGCCTTGTAAGAAATGTGACACGGGATATCAACGGTTTTCAATTCTGTAAAAAAGCTGAATATGTAACTTAGCAGTGGGCAAAGAACTACACAGCATGAAGCAGCTTGTTCATTCCCTCTTTTTTTTGGTCATCTTCTGCTTCATAAATACAAACGAGTTTCCTGTTTATGAAGCGATATTAACATGCAACAAGAGACCCAGCAACAGCAAATTGTGCTCATTTCAATCCCAGATTTGTAAAAAAATAAAATAAAATAAAAAACAAGCCAGCCATCATAATAAACTTAAATGATCCTCCAGACCTAACATCATACGCATTTTCATTAATATTTCATTCATGTTGTATTGGAGACACATTAGTATGTCCCGTGGAGAATATTTTTACAAATGTATTTCTGTTCTGAAAGGGCTTTTTACTTCTCCTAAAAGGAGAAATAGACAATTCTTACCTGAAGGTGATGATCAATTTCAGTGATATTCCATTCTCTCCCACCCCAGATTTTTATATCTATTAAATCCATTTTACTATCTCCAAACTATCTTATTCTATTCACAATCAGGGTGGTTTAATATTGAACTCAAGTTGCCTTCCTTGGCTGGACTTGACAATGTTTACTCTACAGTAAAGGTAAAGGTCCCCCTTGACATTTAGTCCAGCCGTGTCCGACTCTAGGGTGCGGTGCTCATCCTCATTTCCAAGGCATAGAGCCAGCGTTTGTTTGAAGACAGTTTCCATGGTCATGTGGCCAGCGCGACTAGACACGGAACGCTGTTACCTTCCCACCGAGGTGGTCCCTATTGATCTGCTCGCATTTTTACATGCTTTCAAACTGCTAAGTTGGCATGAGCTGGGACAAGTGACAGGAGCTCCCTCTGTGGTGTGGATTCGATCTTACGACGGCTGGTCTTCTGACCTTGCAGCACAGAGGCTTCTGCGGTTTTACCCACAGCGCCACCACATCCCTGTAATGTTTACTGTACCTGTCTTCAAAAGTGGCCTACCAAATACCCCCAGAAAGCTCAGAAAACTATGAGGAAAGACTGAAAGAACTAGGCATGTTTAGCCTTGAGAAAAGAAGACCAAGGGCACTATGAGGGCGCTTTTCAACTACTTGAAATGTAGTTATACAGAGGAAGGGCACAATATGTTTTCAGTCATCTCAGAGTATAGGACATGTAAAAATAGGCTCAGGTTAAAACAAGCCAGATTTTGGTTGAATATCAGAAAAAACAGCTTCTTGTAAATGACTTAGCTATGACCTGGGCAGAGAACAGATCCTTGCAGGTGTACCATGAAATAGTCTTTCCTCAGGACATCTGGTAGTACTGATACTTATCTGACAGGGGGCACCTCTAATTCTCGGTGCGCTGTCCGCTTGTCTGAAAGCTGAAAGAGGGTTCTTTGGAGGAGGCCTTCTCCCCCTCCATCTTTTAAACTTTGCAGATTAAATAGTGGAAGGGTGTACAAGAATGCCACACTTTGTTTTGGCTTCGAAATATACATATACTGAAAGGGAAATGTCAGTACAGTCAATCTCAACAATTGTGATTGATCAAATCAAGGAACTCCTCATTCTAAACATCTAATCATAGTTTATAAGAATTGGATCAGACCAGAGGATAGAAAAAATATATATAAAAGGACAGACCAATCTAAATCTCTGAAAAAGGTGGGTGAGACCTTTTTTTTTCTGCAGGCATCCAATACTTCCCCTTTTGCTGTTTCAGTTTTATTGATGGCTGTTAACATATTAAGACTTAGCGAATTTGTTTTTGGCTGAGATTTTATTTTTCAAGCTGGTTCTTTAAAAACTGTATATACTGTATCTCCAATCAGAGAAGTGACTCTCTCTCTCTCTCTCTCTCTCTCTCTGTGTGTGTGTGTGTGTGTGTGTGTGACTCTCTCTCTCTCTCTCTCTCTCTCTCTCTCTGTGTGTGTGTGTGTGTGTGTGTGTGGAGAAAGAGAGAGAGAGAGAGACTGTATTTCTTCTGTGCAGCAAGGGCTTTATACTTCTCCCAAAAGGGAGAAAGGTGATGATCAATTTCAGTAACATTCCATTCTCCCAGCCCCAGATTTTTCTGTCAATTAGATCCATTTAAATATATCCAAACTATCTTATTCTACTACCATCAGAGGGGTTTAATATGGACTCCAAGTTGCCTACTTTGAGTGGACCTGACAGTGTTTACTCTACACACTCTACTCTATAGACACACAGTCATTTCTCTTCCTGGAGATATAGAGAAATTTTAAAAACATACGTACATATGCATTCATGCAGCAGTTCCATGGAGCTTAAGGAGGCTTCCTTCTGAGAAGGCATGCCTCAGATTGTTTTCTGAGAGAAGAGAAGGAAACCATTGCAATGAACGAAAAGGAGGCAGCTGTTCCATTTAGAACAGGAGGACACAAAATTATGAAAGCAAATAAGCTTCCATAATTCCAGAGTGAATTAATAATCTTGCATAAAGACAAGAATATTGGAAAGCTGCTGCATAGAAGCTTCAAAAGAAACTTGCAGAAGGCAGAGAGACTACGTTTCGTTCCATTTTTGAAACCATCCCCCCCAAGCAGGATGAAAGAGGCCGCCCCCAGGAAATTTCTGTCCTCTGCAGTAATTCTGGCACTACTACATTGTCATCTTTGGCTCAAAATGCAATCCCAGCCATTTGTAGCACTATTTACCTAATAGTTCCCATTTCTGAGTGCTGCTGCTCGCATTTATCTCCTGATGCAGCAGCCTGTTTGTCAGCCCAGCTCACAACGCACGGCGCATTCCGAGGTATATAATGAGTTTCGTGGCTGGTGTGGAGGATGACTCTTTCTGACGGAGAATAGGAAAGGAAGGCAACGTGGGAGTCATGCCTTCTCAGTCACCTTGAGCAAATCCTTTAGATTGTGTAGGGGCAATGTTTTCTTCTAGCCCTAATTCAGTGCCAGGAACTTCACCAGGAAACGAACTGAAATAAGGGGACATGGATGGGAAAGGTCTTCTCACCTGCAACTATGTGTAGCCTAATAGAGGATGGTAGAATTAACTAAACTTGTCCAAAGCAGCTTCTGGTCTGGTTGATTTCTAACTGAAAGAGATGGTTATGAAAAGGAGAACATATTGCCGAATGTTCTGTGGTAGGGAACAGATTTCCTCCAAAATCTTTAATGTCTGCTTGACCAAAAACTGTGGTGGAGGATGACAGTTCAACAACATCACATTCAAATCTCTAAAAGGGGATCATTGGCAAACAGCTTTAGAAACTGTTGTCATCCAGATATGTGACAATTGTATGAACTCCCTTCCAATACTGCTAGCTTGATGTATTTGTGGTTAGATATTCGTTTGGTTTTCCTATTTATTTCTTTAATCCATGGTAAATAATTGTATGTATTTGTATTATCTCATAAATTCTAAAGGCGTTCAGTAGAAATTCTAGCTTGCAGAATCAACGTAAGCTTAAGGAAAAACACCACTGAAATGTTATTAGCAATGTTCTCTCAAAGTTTCATGTGCGCGTCCTTGCCCGGAGTTCTGTTGGCATTGCGTATGGACAAGTCAGTAGAAATTCTAGCTTGCAGAATCAACATAAGCTTAAGGAAAAACACTACTGAAATGTTATTAGCAATGTTCTCTCTACGTTTCATTTGTGTGCGTCCTTGCCCGGAGTTCCGTTGGCATTGCGCATGGACAGGTGACAGCTGGTTTATTTACTTCCCATTTTGAATGAAGTCCCTCCCATCCCTGCACTCATGGAGTGGGGCTCTGTGTGCGTCCTTGCCCGGAGTTCCGTTGGCATTGCGCATGGACAGGTGACAGCTGGTTTATTTACTTCCCATTTTGAATGAAGCCTCACCCATCCCTGCACTTATGGAGTGGGGCTGCCACACAATGGGACAGAAACTTAAAGGGAATGTTGGTTAAATTTCCATCATTGGCTTTCTCAGAGACTCTGGTTGCTTAGCAGTTTCTCCAGGTCACTTATTACTGCACAAATGACTTCATTTCATCTCTACCAGGCTATCGATAAGCAGTTGCTCTTCTCCTATGGGAGTGAACCACAACGGGTCGGATGAATACTTCCACGCAGCAAATCATGCAGAGCAGACTTTCCGCAAGATGGAGAATTATCTTCAGCAGAAGCAACTCTGTGATGTTCTCCTCATTGCTGGAGATCACAAGATCCCTGCTCATAGGTAAAGGCTTTGAATGGTCATGGGTTTTCTGCATGTCTCTGAATAGCCACTCATTTGGATAACAAGGAACTGAGATGTCCTTAAAAATTATGGTGGTTCCCCCCAATAATTGTGAGACCCAACAACCGTTGCAGCTATCTTTGTGACATCACAATGAGATTACCATAAAGTCCTCTGTTCTGGCAAGCGGAGGTAGCTAGCTGTCCTGGCACCCAGCACATCCCAAAAATCCATACTGAGATGTTCTCTAATGGCCAACCAGAAAGTGGGAAAACATTTTATTAAAAAATTAAAGAAAAATTAAGGTACGGTTGGCCTGCATTCCTTGACAGGATAAAAATCCAATGCAATCAATACGATAAAATAAAAAAAGCATAAGTGCTAGAAACATAATTGAAATAAAATAGGATTCTGAAAGTTTTATGGAGCTGTAATTTGCTGCCTTGGGTGTTCTGTCCTTTTGCAGAATTGTGGTTTACACAACTCTGCCTACTGTGCTGCCTTCATTGAGCAATGAACCTGTCTGTGTAAGCCATATTCTAGAGAGTGGAGAAGAAAGGGCACAATACAGCAGACATATCAGAGCCTTCAGTATGAACTAAGAACCTCTAAGCATTCATAGATAGACCTAGTGTTCAAAGTTGTAATGCAGTCACTAAGAATGGATACATCTGTTAGTTTCATTTCCCCCCCAACATAAGCATTTTTTAAAAGCTGAAATTCTTTCCACCCAGATTATGAAGTACTTTGCAGATTTTGGTGAGTTCTTATGAAAATGAAAAGGACCTAAATGTTTGCCTTAGTTCATGCCCTCAGCTAAAGTCATTATGTATAATTATATAATAGTGTAGATGTGTATGTGGGTGGGGTAGCCATATAGCTGCAAAAGATGAGGAATATTTCAGAAAAAAATTGCAATCCTAACATGACACCCAATGAGAGAAGTTTAGGAATTAAGTACTTGCAGTCTTTTTCCTTGCATTGCGCGAATTTGACAGTTTTGCTATTTCACATTTGTATTTTTAAAAACACCCTGTTATTGCCTATTCTGATTCTGAAAGAACCTGAAGATTTTAGAATATTCTGATTAACAAAAGAGAAAGAACAGCAGTGAAACAAAACGTTTAGCCATCCCAATCAGTCATTTATTTCAAATGTATATTTTCCGCTCAAGACAGGAAGATTTCGCCAGTAAGGGAGATTTCATTTTACCAGTGAAGCAAGGCAGCTTTCTAGGAGAATATTAAATTACATAATCAGTCTTTTCTTTTGACTGTGCAGATGCATAACATTCTAATCTTAGGCCAAAGAAATATTGCTCCATCCATACGCCCCATCATTTTTAGCACAAAAGATTCAAGGAAACAGCACCATACATAAGGCTGATGCTTCCATTGATATTATGAGCTGACACAAATGCTCACAAAATCCATGTCTTCCCAGGCTGGTTCTGAGTGCTGTTTCTGACTATTTTGCTGCCATGTTTACCAATGATGTCCGTGAAGCAAAACAAGAGGAAATAAAAATGGAAGGTGTGGATCCTGATGCACTGAAAGACCTCGTGCGTTATGCCTATACAGGTAATTGTCAAGTCAACTTTCTTCTGATTCTGGCAAGGTTGATTCCGATTTGGACCATGGCTAGCAGAAGCTGGTAGCTCCCATTTTTGGAGGTGCTGTGAATCCACTCCAGTTTTTAGTTTGCACTTTACCTATAACTGGATTCACAGCAGCTCTGAAATAGCCTTCTCTGATCATGGCACTGGAGGGCTAACTTTTAACATGGACTGCATTTGTGTACTAGTGAGTAACAGGAACAGATCTGAATAATGTTAAATTCATAGCCAAGCTGGAAATAATGGATATTTTTTGTAGTTCAGTAGTTTCTGGAAAGCTAGTGTCTTGTAATAGCTTGACTTGACACAGAAGATCTAAGTTCCAACTCTCCCCTGGACCCTGAAACTCACTGAGGGTCCATAGGCTCTCTCCCTCCTTTGTATACCTCACAGGCTTATTGTGATGATGATAAAGTAGAAAGGCAATATGTGTTGCTGGAATAAAAATAGATATAATGATACAGCAGCAGCAACAGCAGCAACAACATTGTTCTAAGAGGGGTGGTGAATTTATTGGAACCGTACAATGCAAGAGCATCTTGTCTTCTTGTTCCCTACTTATTTCTTAGCTAACGCACCCTGACATTGTCCCAGGTATCTAAAAGACCTTCTATGTCAATAAACAAGAGACCATAGTGAGTGCAGAGCTGGTATAGCTCAGAGAGATGGAGGTTTTGGCAGCAGAGCCAGGAAGGACAGGTAAATCACTTCTGAGCACATTATACCTAGAAAACCAGCTTGATGGCATCTAATTAATTGTGGTGGACAAGGAAAACACCTTCCACACTGCTCAGATTGTTGGGGCTCATCTGTTGCACTGAGTGGTCTATGCATCCAGATCCGGAGCCGGAAGTTGGGAGTTTGATTCCCCACTGTGCCTCTCTGACAGGGGCCAGACACAATGATCCACAGGGTCCCTTCCAGGCTCTGCAGTTCTAAGATTATTATGGTGAAGAGAGGAGGCTGCCTTCTACCGAGCCTGACCCTTAGTTCATGTGTCCCAGCATTATCAATTGTGTCTGCCAGCAATGGCCCTTCAGGACAAGAGTTTTTTCCCAGTCCTTCCGGACGATATTGTAAAATGACCCTTGGAATTTGTGCATTAAAAAAGAAAAGTGTTTCACCACCGAGTTCTGGTCCTTCTCTGTAAGATGCTTGGACACAAGAACCTTATTTCAGAGTGTATTCTCGAAGGCTTTCACGGCCGGGATCTGATGGTTGTTGGATAGGTTTTTTGGGCTCTTTGGCCGTGTTCTGAAGGTTGCTCTTCCTAACGTTTCACCAGTCTTTGTGGCCGGCATCTTCAGAGGACTGGAGTTAGAATTCTGTCTGTACTCCTGTCCTCTGAAGATGCCAGCCACAAAGACTGGTGAAACGTTAGGAAGAACAACCTTCAGAACACAGCCCAACAGCCTGAAAAACCTACAACAACTTATCTCTGAGGTTGACCCAACAGCCTGAAAAACCTACAACAACCTATCTCTGACGTTTTTCTCCCCATACAGAATAATTCCTTCCTGTGCATCTCTCCCCCGCCCCGTCTCCTTCCCTCCCTCTTTCTCTCTGTTTAAAATTAAACCACACAGGTATCTTGGAACTAAAAGAAGACACGATTGAAAGCTTGCTGGCCGCGGCTTGTCTTCTCCAGCTTTCTCCAGTCATCGAAGTCTGCTGCAATTTTCTCATGAAGCAGCTCCATCCTTCAAACTGCTTAGGGATCCGATCCTTTGGAGATGCGCAGGGCTGCACAGAACTCTTGCAAGTGGCACATGTGTACACAACGGTGAGACCCAGAAAGTTGAGTCACTGGAACTAACAACTAAAAGGTTAAAATAGAGAGGGACAAGCGGAAACAGCAAAATGTTGCAGCGTGCCCAGGTTTTTGGTTTGGGGTTCAATTTTCATTCCCAGGATATTGTTTCACTCCTCCCACAATTTTCCACTTAATTCCAGTCTTGGTGTTTAGACAGCATTTTGGCCCATCAATCATGTTCAGTCTTCATCTGATTTTTTTTTGGGGGGGGGAGGTCTCACCTTCCTTTGATTTGTTTTATTTTGTTCTGTTTTATTTTTATTTTTTTACTTCTGCAGCCTTTGACGATCTCTCCAAACCTCCCAACTACCCCATTGCTGCTGGTGCAGCGCTCTTTTGGCTACATAATCAGTGACCCTCATGTTTGTGCATAAGCTACAGTTTTCTGATGTACATCTGTCGCTGCCACTGTAATTTGCTTGATGGAAGGATTGGCCCTGCATAGTAAAGTAGACTGTACCATTTCAGTCTGCAAGTGTTGCTGTTGTTTAGTCATTAAGTCATGTCTGACTCTTTGTGACCCCATGGACCAGAGGACGCCAGGCCCTCCTATCTTCCACTGCCTCCCAGAGTTGGGTGAAATTCGTGTTGGTCGCTTCGATGAAACTGTTCCACCATCTCATCCTCTGTCATCCCCTTCTCCTCTTGTCTTCACACTTTCCCAACATCAGTGTCTTTTCCAGGAAGTCTTCTCTTCTCATGAGATGGCCAAAGTATTGGAGCCTCAGCTTCAGGATCTGTCCTTCCAGTGAGCATTCAGGGTTGATTTCCTTCAGAATGGATAGGTTTGTTCTCTTTGCAATCCAGGGGACTCTCAAGTAGACTTGTAGACTGTACCATTTCAGTCTGCAAGTGTGGGGGAAGTCAGATTCCCTGTACTTTTTTAAAAATTTGAATGTTTCTCTACGTTAGTACTAAAACAAGTGTAAACTGCATTTTCTTAAATGCTAGTTTATGCTAGTATAAATGCTAAAAACACTAGAAAGACACAGAATGGACAAGATGTTTATTTCTGTTTGCCATGTATTTACTAGTAGGAAGGGTTTCTTCAAAATGGAAAAAAAAAACCCTAAGTAATTGTTTGCCTGAGCGCTTACTGTCCATGTCACCCTCCTGTCGGTGGCATTGATAGGTATTGTGCACGAGTCCTCTGATCCGATTTTCAAAAATATTTGAGGCTCCTCAAAATTTCCTGATTTAGTATTCAGCCATTTGTGCTCTAGATCTGAACCTCTTTCTAAGTTGCAGAGTCAGTGCATTGAAAAAAAAAACACCAATGCAACTGTAACTTCTCTGGTTTTGCACTGATGTAAATGAAAATAAATAATAAATAAATAAATGTACGTAAAATTTGGAGGCATGAAGAATCCTAAGAGAGAAGTCAACTGTTACATTTCGGGAGTTTGTGTACCATACGTCTTCAAAATTTGCTTAAAGGCTTGCTGAAGCAATCTGTGGGTCATCTGATTAATTTTGTCCTCCTGACACAGATTATTTGTAAAATCATTTTGATTTGCTCTCAAACTGAATATGGCTCTTAAAAAAATCAATCCAAATCAAGCCAATTCAGTTCATGATCTCTGGTTTGTCTGACTCTGATGCACAGTCCTAGATCTTTGAACTAAAACAAAGCTGGTGGTTCTCTTGCTACAGACAGAAAGTGCAGGATAGCATAGCTATTTAATTTGAAAAGCATTTAATCATGACTAAGCTAATTGATTAGTCACACCAATCAAAAACATACATACTTGCCCACTCCTCGCCTTCTTTTCAAAGGGCAAAGGATCGGCTTTCCCTCCATTTCAAGATGACAGAGCAAATAACAGCTAGGAATCCTTTTGAGAGATGAATAAGAAGACGGGTTGAAAGAAAGAAAATCCACATTCATTTTGGCTGGATTAGATTCCTTTAGCAGCAAGGAAATTGCAACAAGAGTTTTAGAAGAGGAGCAAAAAATAGGAAGGGCTGGTTGGATGGGAAACGAGAACTGTAGAACATAAGGAGGGGGTGGGTGGGATGATGATAGTCCAAGAAGCATCAGAGGGCACACTCCGGGTTGTGTTATATATTAATCCATTGATAATTCAAAGTAGAAGAAAGAATAATTGGGCTGTCAGAGGAGCAGAAAAACCTTGCTGGGAAACTATGTCAAGGTATAAATATTTCAGCGGAGGTCTAACAATGCCACTTCGTGCTTCTTCAAATGTATTAAGGAGGAACAATTGCTTTTCTGGGTGTAAGAATGGGGGCAAGCTGAAAACAAGATGCTGTTGGGATCAAAAGCACAGCTTTGGCAAGCTAAAGAACATAACTGCCCTGCTTTTTAAAACCATCAAAGTGGGCACATTCTGAATGCACAGTCCACAATTGGCCAGTTATGACCCCAGGGTGGATTTTATTCATGTAAGGTTGTAGGTTGAGTAGACCCACAGGATAGGCTGTAGAGCCTGGAAATAGCTCCACAGTCCAACGGTGTCTTCTTAGTGCAGCTTGGGGAAAAAAAACACGAAATAAAATCCATCTGTTTTGGAGGCATTTTTTTTCCAAGCAGAAATCACAAGGCACAGAAATGATTAAGCAGCCCTCCTTCCAGCAGGCTAAGGTGCCCCTCTTAAGCACCCCCTTTTCCTGCACACTCCCCCACAAAGGATTTGAGCAAATGTGGTGTTTTGGATCTCTGTTTGCCAAGGGAACATCTAGGCAGGCCATCTGGTGCAAGTGGAAACAGGCAAAATAGTATGGAGGAGCTGAATCTCTGAAACAGCTCAGATATAAATTGGCTCCAAAGAGCTCAGCGAAATGAACTTCCCTTTCTTTTACCTTTGCTATTATTGATGTGGGCTATTAACAGTTTCCTGCTTGATAATCTTGTTTCCACAGATAAAAATCGTTTCCTATAAACAGCCTGCGCTATTTTTAAAATTTGCCACGACTCTCCCGTCTTCCTATTTCCTAAGCATCACAGAGAGTAGGGAGAGCAGGAAGGAGTCAAGCCACTGTCTCCTTGATTGCTCTGAAGAAATACAGCCTTCATTCTTCTCCTTTTTAAAAATATACATTCGGATTACAGAAATGTTGAGAAAAACAGTGCAATATTGCAAGCCCATTGTTGTGCCATTTCATTCTCATGTGAGCATCTAAACATGTTTTTTTTTTAAATAGATGGCTTTTTGAAAAGATGGGTTTCCATCCAATTTTTTAGAAACCCGGTTGATTAACTAACTAAGGCACAGTCCTAATTTTTCTCGGAAATGTTTTTAAAAAATATCCAGGGTGCTAAATGTGAGGGGAAATGTCCAGAGCTCTGATATGAGTTTTAAATTTTTAAATTTTTTAATTCTCACGTTTAGTTCTGACATTAGGAGCCAGAAATTCTTCTCTGACCAGGATTCAAATAATGGCTGAAGGCAAATTCCTGATCTTGCCCACTGTCATCCTGCCACGGGTCATAATGTTGTTCACAGTATTGAGAACCTTCCCCGTACGTTGATCTTCTAGGTAGCTGAGTAGGATCTGTGACAATATGGCCCGCCTCAGTGCTTTCCCCATGAAAAGATTATAAGAGAAGCAGCCCAATGCCACCTGGGGGATGATAGTGGGGAAAGGACCATTACTAATTTTGATCACCATTTGCCCATGAGGAATCACATTCTGGGAAAAATCGTGTTAGGTAAAGGTAAAGGTTCCCCTTGACATTTAGTCCATTCATGTCCGACTCTAGGTCACGCTGCTCATCCCCATCTCCAAGCCATAGAGCCAGCATTTGTCTGTAGACGGTTTCTGTGGTTACGTGGCCGGCGTGACTAGATATGGAATGCCATTACCTTCCCACCAAGGTGGCACCTATTTATCTACTTGCATTTTTACATGCTTTCAAACTGCTAGGTTGGCAGGAGTGGGACAAGCGACGGGAGCTCCCTCCGTCATGTGGATTCGATCTTACGACTGCTGGTCTTCTGCCCTTGCAGTACAGAGGCTTCTGCAGTTCAACGTGCAGTGCCACCACATCCCCGTTGGCATAGTTACTCTGTCATAAACCGGATCTGAGTGTTGGAAATAATCAATTAAAATTAATTAAAAGTTTCCTTGCCCTGTTTCAGATGTTGAGGCTCCCTGGGGTTCCCTTCTGCCCCGGGCATGCCCTAGGGAACCTTAGAAAGTGGGTGGCACCTTTAATTGTATACAAGCATGGTCTGGTCACTGCCATCCAGATGCAGCCGTAGTAATCTAGTAGTGATTTCTGACTATTAAGGGCTCACACTCCTCCATTCCAAGGCTCCCAAAGGCTTTTCCCAGGGCAAAAGACACAGTGTGGTGGCATCCTAGACTGTCCAAGGGAGCCTCGGAATTGAAACATGGGGAAGCTTTCAATCAACTTAACTATTTCTGGCAATCATATTTAGTTTATAATGGTGTAACTTCACACAACAGGTTCTTGTCAATTATATTCCATGTTTTGATGGCATATAACTAATGCTCTTTCTAATTTTCTGGAGCACTAGGTGGGGGTTCCGCCCCGTGCATGCAGAGTTCTGGCTGTACCTGGAAGCAAATCAGTAACAGCACTGGCTTGGCTGCATGGTTCCCATGCAGCGTTGCATGTCTGTGCAGCCATAAAGCTTAGAGGGGATGTTGCATGTAACTGCTGTAAAATTATTACAAGATTTAGTATATGTTGGTAGAAGATAAGATTTCAAGAAAGTTTTTGATATAAACATTTAAAAAATCCTTTTTGGTGCAGTCCTAACATTTCCTGACCAATGAGATGTTTAAGATAGGGTAAATCTATTGCTACGCTGAATAGATGCACCTGTTTTGTGAACTCTGACCTTCCCCTATGCATATTCCAGAAGCTATTTTGGAATTGGGAAGAGACTTAAATTCTAGCACTTGGGTAGAGTATATTGAGTGTATGTGTGTGTGAGGGCTTGTTTGTGATAGTATGCTGTCATCTCCAGGATTTCAGACCCTTGATTTGAAAACAAATGCAGTATAAATGGATGAACAAATAAAATGCATATTGACTGTTCAAATGATGCTTACCCTCCTCCATAGGAACACTTCATGGAAGTAATAAAAAATCAGGAATTTCTCTTGCTGCCTGCCAGTGAAATTGCAAAGCTCCTGTCCAGTGATGACCTCAATGTCCCGGATGAAGAGTCCATATTCAAGGCATTAATGATGTGGGTTCGGCATGATTTGCAAAACAGGCAGCGGGACCTTGGGATGCTACTGTCTTACATAAGACTGCCTCTGCTCTCCCCACAGGTGGGTCCAAACATGCACTGGTGGGAAGTGATGCATTATGGGTAGGGCAGTAGACGTTGGTGGTGTGACAACCCCAGACCTACTGGAGGATGCCACAGTCTCACTAAGCTGCCACCAACCATTCCCTATAAGAAGTCACACAGACCAGGGATGGATTTTTAACAAATAAAAGAACAAGGTTTATTTACATAACACACAGGGAAAATAAAATGATCAAATGAATAAGATACAGTAACGTGGCTTAGTCTCAATCATACATACACTAGTTTGGTTCACACAGAACGCATTTAACTAAAGCACAGACCCTGAACCTATCAGTTCTGGCTAACCCTACAGACACCTGAACCTATCAGGTTGGTACTGACTGACACACAGTAGTACCCTGTCTGACACACAGACTCCCACTCAAGCTTCTTCTCTCAGCTCTTCTCTCAGCTCTCCACACAAGCTCCACATATATATACAGTACAGCCCCTCCTCCTGATGTCCCGCCTTCCACTCCCCATAGGATGGAACTTTCCCTCCAAACCCATGACAGACAGGTAACATCAGTGCTGTATGTAACAGGTGGCTCCACAGTGATTTCATTCTTGGTTTTGATCCAAATAAGCAAGAACTAGTCTGATTGCTAAATGCTCTCCAAAATAAATTCATCAGCTTGAATAGTTGTCTTTTTCGGACTTAAGTCCAGAGCAGATTTATTGTTCTCCTCTAGGGTGTGGAGATATTTGTTAAAGACGTGGACTTTCTAAGAGGTTAAAAGATATAGAGATAAGGAAGGTGGACATATAGTTCAATTTTGCAGTCTTAAATTGAAAGAGATCATTACTCACTATGAATGAAAAAGGGGCATAACTCTTTCCCCACATCTCTGTGATTGAAGTCCTTTCATTGCCAATGAGGAATGCAAATTTCCGTTTGTTCCATTCGTAAGTGCAAATGAAGAATGTCAAAAATTTCTGTTCACTGGATGATTTTTTTTTTTGGTGTTGGGATGTTTGTTAAAGAAACATTTATAGAAATGGTTTTGCACAAAACCTTTGCATTTTTTTTTATTCAGACGAATTTATATTATGAGCATAATGTACGAGGCTTTTGAGGTGCGTTGCTAACACTAGTTCTGACCTAAAGAATGTCTGGTCTTTTTGCTCTTGTGCAGGAGATTTGTCATTGACCATATTTTTGAAGGAATGTCTTGATGCCAACTAGTTCCATTTGCATGCTTTTACACCACCCAGAGTAGTACAAATTCACTAATAGGACAGTACATAAATTTAGTACATTAATAAAAGCAATTAATTAATACAGGAAGTGTCAAGCAATATGACTGGACCCCTTCACTTAAAAGAGGAAAATGTTGCTAGTTCCTGAGACAAAATATTCCAGCATTTTCACATGAGATCCAAGTGGGATCCACCATTGGTCAAAATCTGACCGGTTTTGGTTATAAATGGTGTGGTGTCTCACCATTAAGGCATTTCCATGGAGTCCAAGACAGAGTTAGAGTCGACGTGCAATGTGAAAAGAAGTTATATGGAATGCTACTATTTTTGGATTTCCCCCCCTCCCCACATACTGCTGAATACCATGTCATCAAATTTTGGTGGCAACCAAGAAAAAAAAAAGGGAGGAAGCATTTTGCTTGCTTCAGATACTTTGTAGTGCCTTGCTGCCAAAGCTCAGTGGGAAACAGAGAAAACCAAATGTAAAACAAGCCAATGTTTGCTTTGATTCGGTTTTCTTCCTCTCTTGGTGGTTAATGGAAGTTGAATTTTAGTGGTGGGGAGTAGGGAGATGATAGCTAGGAGCTGGACCTGCAGATGTAAAGATTTGTGGGTTTCAAATGGAGGTGGTTGGAGAACAGGAATGGCATTTGGCATAGGCAGGAGGCTTGTTAACTAGAGTCCTTGAAACTGCAACCAGATGCTGCCATTTTACTTGGGTTTTGTGCATAAGCTTTAAGGCGCACACTGTCTATCCAATTATTGTCCAATCTATGGTGCTGAGGAGAAGCAGGAGAAGCTATAGAAACAGCGAGGAGCAGCTCAGACACTTGGGTCAAGACTCCATTTCTCCAGTGCCCCATAAAGTCATGACTGATATACCGTACATTGGGGGAAAGTTTCTGATTCTTTCATTATGAACAACAAATCTTTGCGCCTTCAGCTCTTGGCAGATCTGGAAAACAGCCCTATGTTTACTGATGACCTTGAGTGCCAGAAACTACTCATGGAAGCTATGAAGTACCACTTGCTACCTGAAAGGAGGTCTATGATGCAGAGCCCTCGAACTAAGCCTAGGAAATCCACCGTCGGCTCTCTTTATGCTGTGGGAGGCATGGATGCCACCAAAGGTAGGGACATGGTCTGCCAGAGCAATCTGTGCTTTATGAAAACTTGTGCCACAATAAATCAGTGAGTCTTTAAATTGAGCTAGGCCTCTTACATAAGTCTGTGATTTCATCCGATGTTGTCGTGCTTTATCTTTTTTGAAATATTTTTTTTTGTTTCAGTCCTAGCTCAGTGGTGCTCTGGCTGTAGGTAGATAGCACAAAATGTCCTTCTGCTAGCTGAACTCTCTTGGGCTGTTCTGTTTCAGAAATAGATTGAGTTGCTCTGCTGGCTAAGAGCTTCCAAAGGAGGAGCCAAAAATGGGCAGAAACCATCTAGATTCAGGGAAGGCATAAGATAATGCCCACAGCCAGACTTTTCTAGCCCATGCAGACAGCCGTAGGCACTTGAAGACATTTCTTTATTCCTAGTACGTTGTTTGGCTAAAACTTTGAAACACAGCTTAGTCATGACTCTATTGGTTTAGTCTTTTTATCTTCAAGAGGAGAGATTCCTGATCATGGCATTGTGCAATATAACACAGTTATAAGCTCCAGATCCTTTTTCAGTTGAATAAACTTAGCTGCATTTCAACATTCCTGCCAACCAACAACAGTGAGATGAAGGGAATAGTAGACACATCATAGCCACAGTGTCAGCACAAAAATTAAGCTGGATGTGGTTAGTTTCAACATCCCTAGGCCAGGAGAGTCTAGATTCTGTAGAGTTTCCGATGGTCTGTTATTGGCTGAGCTGGTCTTTAGCCTTGCTAACCACTTAGGATTATGTTTTTTTTATTGCTAGAAAAAGTAAATGATGCTACCCTGTAGTTCCTGGCAGATGTTGTCCTAGCTCCGTTCTTCTGTGCCTTCCATAATGTGTTGCAAGTGCAGTATCATTTGGATTGAGAGTGAGGTCTTTCCAGCTCCAGAAAAGAAAACTGAACATTGCCTGCTCCTGTGGGCATAGCGAGCAAGACTGGGTGGTTGAACTAATTTTGTGTGTGGCCTCACCACCTTCTTAGAATATGGTTCCTCACACCATACAGCCTAAGATTAAAGGGGGGGGGAGTTTTGGATCAGGGGCAGAATTGTCACGGGAACACTGTATATCCAACTAGCAGGCTGATCTTTAAGAGCTTTGCATTGTGTCTGGCTTGCGAAACTAAATGGGCAGCTGAAGAATGAATTGGAACAATAGCTGAGAATAGCAATAGTTTACTATTGACCATTGTCATCGAAGCGACCAACATGAATTTGACCAAACTCCAGGAGGCAGTGGAAGACCTGCCTGGCATGCTCTGGTCCATGGGTCATGAAGAGTTGGACATGACTTAATGACTAAACAACGAGGAGCCTCATGGCACAGTGGTTAAACTGCTGTACTGCAGCCCAAACTGTGCTTACGGCCTGGGGTTCAATCCCAAGTAGCCGGCTTAAGGTTGACTCAGCCTTCTATCCTTCCGAGGTCGGTAAAATGAGTACCCAGCTCGCTGGGGGGGGGGCAGGGAATGTGTAGCCTGAGAGTGCTTGAAGCGCTGTGGGGCGGTATATAATCAGCACGCTTTTATTTTATTTTATTTTTTTAACAACCATTGATCATTCAGTTCTCCAAAGGTTGTATCCACACGAGCCCCTTCCTCTGGCATGATCATCTTTTATCCATGCACTTTTTATGAAGAATCCAGATGATACTTGTGTTGTGGTTGTACAGTGTTCCTCTGGCATGATCATCTTTTATCCATACACTTTTTATGAAGAATCCAGATGGTACTTGTGCTGCTGTTGTACAGTGGTGCTCCGTTTAATGACGAATCCGCATTACGACGAGGTTTTTGCAATCACAAAAGTGATCGCAAAGGGACGTTTTGAATGGGGGAATTTCGCTGCGCAATGATCGGTTCCCTGTTTTGAGAACCGATTTTTGCTTCACAACGATCAAAACAGCTGATCGTCGGGTTTTCAAAATGGCTGCCGGGTGCTCAAAATGGCTCCCCGCTGTTTAGGAGCCATTTTTCTCTGCACAGGCACCCGAAAATGGCCGCCCCTATGGAGGATCTTCGCTGGACGGTGAGTTCTTAGCCAATTGGAACGCATTAACCAGGTTTTAATGTGTTTCAATGGCTTTTTTATTTTTGCTTTACGACGTTTTTGTTCTACAGTAATTTCGCTGGAATGAATTAACGTCGTAATGTGAGGCACCACTGTACTAGGTTGTTATAGCAAAACCTTTTATTTGATCTTCTCAATTGTCTTGAGACTTCAAAGCATTGGTTGGCCTTTTAATGTGGAAAATGAAAGCATAAGGTGGTTTCAATTTCTTGGCCACGAGAAGAAAACAATGTCTTGTTGGTTTCTAAGAAATGGAGACTATAGAATTCACTGAGGGTCAGTCCCAGGTACTGCAAGTGTTCCAAGATTTCCTCCACAAATACTAAAGATTAAGAAGTTTCTTGAAATTTGCCTGATGTTACAACAAACCCTACCGTCCACCTAACGAAGGAACAGTTGGCTGGCTGTTTTAACAATATTTTATTCAGAAACTCCTATGAGAAGGAATCATGAAATAAAATCTGCTCTTCATCCAAACTGAAATGTGTGGTGTCAGGCCGATAAATTCATGGTTGTTTCCTGCCTACCTGGCTTACTGACCAGAGGCAAAATTTCAATTTTCTCAGCTTTCCAAAATGTGCAGTTTTTGATATGTGGGCAACTAGGTACCTTAGAAAAATGTTGTCAAAAAAGATAAATATGTAATAATGTTTTTATAGAAATGCAGCTATGGAAGGCCACCAGACTTCCTTGTGTGTGTGTCGGCCAAGTTTTAGAAAAACAACAGGATGACAGCAACAGGCCTCCAGCAATACATAAAAACATACCTTAGATGGAGATGCTTGAGAACTTTGATATTTCTTGGGTTAAAAGGAACCATACTATTTAAACACAAGAGGCATTTGGTTTTAGTACCGGTATTCAGCCTGTTATTTAGAGGGAACATTCTCTTCCATATGCAGTTATTATTTGCCACAAAACCTGGCCTACTTCTCCATTTAGAGGGAACATTCTCTTCCATATGCAGTTATTATTTGCCACAAAACCTGGCCTACTTTTCCAATATAATTTTTTTTGTTCTCAAGGTGATGGGGGATGCTGTCTCATTGCCGGTATTGCTGTGCGAGTCTATTGACAGTCCAGTTTTCTTTTAAAGTTAGGACTGAAGAAAGTGGACACATGTTATCTGCTTCAGGCGGCATAAGATCTATGGCAGTCCCTCTTCTTCATTCATATCAGAGCATTGCACAATTTAAAATTATGCACGCATATGAAATATAGGAAAAATTTAAAACCAATTAAATTTTTAGATAATTAGACAATTTTTGATCAGAAGCGGGCTACTTCAATAGTGTTATCTCGGCCATTTGCTAGATCCTAGCAAATCTCTTTTTTTACACGTAGTGAGGGAATAAATTGCTTGCACATAAGTGCTACACTGATTGAATTTCTCCACAGTCACAGAAAATTTGTCCTGTATCCAAGTAGCCCCATTTTACTTGATTATTCTTTGGCCTTCCCACTTCATTTCAAAGTCTGTCAAGTGACTTCCAGATGGTTTGGCCAGAGTCTTGTCCTGGTGGGACACACTCTTCAGCATCTATCCATTCAACCAGGTGTGCTGCATTTGTTCTTCATAGCTTTAGCCAACTGTTTCCGGTTTAATATTTAGAGCTTTGGATGTGTGCAGAAACCTTTTCCTCAGTTTTAGCCCATGTTTAGAGGATTGATGTCCATGAAGTGGATGGGTTTGGTGCGGTATTTCTTGTTCATTATTTTCTAGTACCTCTTGATGTGATTCTGGACGGGTAATGCCAACCAAATAATAGACTTTTTAAATGAGGGTAGGTTTCAGGCAACCATTCACAATCTTGCATGATTCATTTAGAGCTACATCCACTTGTTTGGCCTGTGCTGATTTGCACCATATGGCACTAGCATATTCTGCTCTAGAGTAGCAGAAGGCCAAAGCTGCTTTTCTAGTTGTTTAGAAAATCATAGAAAAGTGAAGGTGGAAGGGGCCTACAAGGCTATCAAGTGTGTGAGTGTGTACCCCAGTCTGACTCAGCCAGTTTCCTAAATATGTTATTTCTTGTGCTAACTTCCTGTTTGGTGTCTAGACAATGTGTCTAGGCCAGAGTTCGATACAGAGTGATACCTAAATACTTTGGATAGAGGCATGTCCCAGAATTTTGCCTTCCCAGCTAACTCAGAGATTCCTTTCTGCTCCTGTGCTCCAAGAGACCTGTATTTTAAAGGTGTTGGTTTCAATGAGTTGTTTTTATAATATGAGGAAAGATCTTCTAATGCAGAAGTTAGCTGATGCTTGATGGCCACAAAGGTTTTCCCCTGAAGGCAAGATCATCAGTAAGCATAGATGAGTATGGGAATGTTGGTTGATCATTTCTGTAAATGTTAAAAAGTAACGGTGTCAGGACTCTACCTTGTGGGAGAAAGTTCACTTCCAGAAGTTTTGCACTGTAAACTTGCTGATGGCTAGCCCTAACAATTTCATGTGAAATTTTTGGTGTGTCTAGCTTATAAACTTGGTAGGGGTAGAAAGAATGACTTTTTGAATGCCAGCCTGCCACTGAATAATTCAGCTTCATATTGTTGGTTGATCATTTGTGTAAATGTTAAAAAGTAATGGTGCCAGGACTCTACCTTGTGGGAGAAAGTTCACTTCCAGAAGTGTTGCACTGTAAACTTGCTGATGGCTAGCCCTAACAATTTCAAGTGAAATTTTGGTGTGTCTAGCTTATAAACTTGGTAGGGGTAAAAAGAATGACTTTTTGCTACCCTGAGGGGATCAATGCCAGCCTGCCACTGAATAATTCAGCTTCATATGTTCCTAGCCTAAGGCCAGTGAAACCTGGCTTGCTGGATTTTACAACTAGGCAAAAGATATTAATAGTGAGGTTTTTGGGATTTTTTATTAAAGAAAAGGGATAGTATAGGAAATTATAATTCTTCACCATAATTTTACTAAGAGAAAATTTACACTGACAGTTGTAAATATACAATCATGCTTTAAAAAATATAGACTAGATAATGAAAACTCCTGAATAAAGATCAGAGATTTACAGCACTCATTTGGATAGTTGGTTTGTTTATCAAGTAGCAACAGTTTTTAAGTTGATTTAAAATGGTTGTCCAGTTGATTGAGGATGCCTTTTAAGGTGGTGAATATTTAGTAAGGACAGTTATAATAAAATGAAAAGGGCAGGATCAATTTGAAATATATACAGTATTCTTTTAAAAAGAATCTTATAAGACAGAGCTTGTTGCAACATTTGTGACATAAACTAAGAACAAGGAAAGCCCACTTCAAAGTCATTGTTTTACTAAGATGCCCATTTAAGGAGAATTTAATTGATTAATTTATCAGTGAACTTCATTAAACTAATCAGGTGACAGTCTTAGAAATCTGAAACTCCTCCTTCAGGTACATTATCAGATTTATGATTTGTATTTTCAACAGGCACTACCACAATTGAGAAATACGACCTGAGGACGAACAGCTGGGTCCAAATTGGAACCATGAACGGCAGGCGGTTGCAGTACACGACTGGACAAAATTTGTCAAGGGGAACCTTTACCTTTACCTATTCTTTTAAAAAGAATCTTGTAAGACAGAGCTTTTTGCAACATTTGTGACAATCTAAGAACAAGGAAAGCCCACTTCAAAGTCATTGTTTTACTAAGATGACCATTTAAGGAGAATTTAATTGATTAATTTATCAGTGAACTTCATTAAACTAATCAGGTGACAGTCTTAGAAATCTGAAACTCCTCCTTCAGGTACATTATCAGATTTATGATTTGTATTTTCAACAGGCACTACCACAATTGAGAAATACGACCTGAGGACGAACAGCTGGGTCCAAATTGGAACCATGAACGGCAGGCGGTTGCAGTTTGGGGTTGCTGTGATTGACAACAAGCTTTACATTGTGGGAGGACGAGATGGACTGAAGACGTCCAATACAGTTGAATGTTTCAATCCAGTGACCAAAGCATGGACTGTGATGCCTCCGATGTCAACACACAGGCATGGCCTAGGTAACATGGGCAGAGCTCTTGAAACAATCACTCAGCAGTGACATACTAAGAAAGAAACAGGGACAGTGGACTGTAGAATGTGACAAATTGTGTCAGATTACTCATTCTCCGCAAGATAGGCGAGTCATGGCAATCTGTTGAAAATTCATCGACCCCCTTCAGTATTTCTCGTCTCCAGCATGAGAATGAGACAAGGGCTGAAGACTCTTATTTGGCAACATTCCAGGGAGTGTGAAAAATAATCAGCAGTTTGACAGTTGAAGGGATGGATGAGTCTCTCGTTATGGCTTTCTTCCACATATGGAAGTGGTAGTCTCAGGTTCTTTCCATCATTCTTGAGATTCTTCAGAACACGACCAAAGAGCCCGAAAAACACACAACAACCATTCGATCCTGGCCGTGAAAGCCTTCGCGAATACATTCTTGAAATTGATGAACACTGGAAAGTTTGAACACACAACCATTAATTGGATGTGATTTCCCTGTCTGCACTAGCAGACTCAGGAGTTACAATGACTCCTCAAATGCAGAGGATCGTGTTGAACTTGCCTGCTATGTGGCTGTTAGTGATGAGGAGACTTTCAAGGGGGGGAAATGGCGGCAACCCCAGTTCAGTGCCATAAACAATGCATGAATATGATGAATGCATGAGGACTCACACTCAGATTTTTAAGAGTTATGTTCTCAAAGTCCCAGTGCGGTGGTTCCTAACCTTGGGTAATCCAGGTTTTCTTTGATTTCAACTCCCAGAAAACTCAGCCAGCACGGTTAATGGCGAAGGCTGATGGGGATCGTAGTACAAGAACACCTGGGTTACTCAAAGTTGGGAACCTGGTGAATGAGATTTAAGATTATCCTTCCTGTTCCTCCACCACCTTCCAAGTTCTTTTAATTCTGAATATGAAAAAGAAATTGTGATTCCAACTATAGCCAGGTCTGACTTTGCCTGGTCAGAAAGGTATTCATTGTGAGATGGTGGAAGGCTTTCGGAGAGGAAAAGCTGCAGTGAAAGCATAGCTTGGACCACAGCTTGAAAGAAACCTAGTATTGTATGGATTTCAGTATTGCATCATTGTATGACTATTCTTTTGGATATTTACGTCATGGATCTATTGAGTAAGCAAGCATAATGCAAAGATACTAAGCAGATATATATTGTCCATAAAATGCCAATTTCATCAATTAATCTTTTCCTCCCTTCCTCTTTTATCTTCAGGCGTAGCAATGCTTGAAGGGCCAATGTATGCAGTCGGAGGCCATGATGGATGGAGTTACCTTAATACAGTTGAGAGATGGGACCCCCAGGCCCGGCAATGGAATTATGTAGCAAGCATGGCAACTCCTAGGAGTACTGTGGGTGTTGCGGCACTGAATAGCAAGTATGTGCAGTCTTTTCCCTCTCTGTCTCTGCCTCTTGTTTTACACATACATCCAAGCCTGCAATGGCTTCCACTAGGATTAAATAATGGAGATTAGTAGCCCCTGTTATGCCTCACATGGACTAGGACAATGTTCAAATCCCCAAGTGGCCATATAAACTCACCGGGGATATGGGACTTGTAAAACCACTCCTTAAACATTTCACTTACCTTGAAAACCCTGTTAGGGTCGCTATAATTCAGTTCCAACTTGACAATATGTAACAACAATGGTCCCGTTGTGCCATGAAATTCTCTGAGCGGCTATGGGCCAATCACTCTCATCTTCCTTCACAGTGTTGTTGAGAGCTGAAGAGGAGAAGAACCATTATGGTATTCAGTTCAATAGAGAAAAGGCAAGATATAAAGTGAGATAGGTCAAGTTAAAGGTTCCCCTTGACATTTTACCCAGTCGTGTTCGACTCTAGGGGGCAGTGCTCATCCCCGTTTCCAAGCCGTAGAGCCAGCATTTGTCCGAAGACAGTTTCCGTTGTCGCGTGGCCAGCACGGCTATACACGGAACGCTGTTTACCTTCCCACCGAGGTGGTACCTATTTATCTACTCGCATTTGCATGCTTTCGAACGGCTAGGTTGGCAGGAGCTGGGACAAGTGACGGGAGCTCACTCCGTCCCGTGGAGTCGATCTTACAACTGCTGGTTTTCTGATCCTGCAGCACACAAAGGCTTCTGCGGTTTAGCCCGCAGCGCCACCACGTCCCCACATAAAGTGAGATAGCAATGAATAATTATGGTGAAAGGAATGGGGATGGTAGTGGCGATGAATGTGATGATGATGAAGAAGAAGAATTGGGCAGCTTGCTAGTTGTGACTGTCTCCTTTAATGGTAGTCTTATTTACTATTGGCTCGAACGTCTTCTGTGGCTGTTTGTGGCCACAACAGTACTTCTAATTTTGCTAAAACGCTTGCGAGTTTCCCACAATAAGCACGGAAGAATGTGTTAGTGGAACTTTCTCCCATTTTTAAAAATTATTTTTATATGTGTATCATTAAAAAAACCCAAGTTCTATCAAATTTGTGGAAGAATTCAAACATTTAGAAAAGTTATTATTGGAAACCATAATATGGAACGAACGAACTAATGTTCTCAACCACTTGCCCTGGCCAAATTCAGCAAACAGAGCTATTCCTGGCAAAAAGAGAGAGAGAGAGAGAGAGAGAGAGAGAGAGAGAGAGAGAGAGACGGTTTTGCACCTGCCTGTCAAAATGATGAACTTGACAGAAAAGCAGGTGGCAACCGGTTGAAGTGATGACGTGTGGTGTTACACAAATACAGTATTTTATAAGCTGGCATGTGTCCTTTTTTTGAGAAAAAGATGGGATATAAATAAAATGAATGAATGCCCACACGACTACTTTGCCTAGTTGTGGTGTATGGCGTCAGTGAGAAGTAGCGGATAGAATGTCTAGCTAGAACTCCTGATATTTGATTTTGAGTCTTTGCCTAACGATGGAAAATCAATGGAGGATGACAACGGTAAATCACTCCCTGAACATCTCAGGTACCTTGAGAATCCTATTAGTGTTACCATAATTTAGAACATCAGGCAAAACCAAAATAAAAAGTCAAAAAAACATTATAGCATCTTAAAAACGAACTGCTATATTTTAATGTGAGCTTTTGTGGACAAATCCATTTCCTCAGACTTCTTTTCTCTCTCTTTTATTTTTGCCTGATATGTTAGCACAATAACTTTGATGCCAGTTTCTGAAGTTCAACTTTCTAAAGCCTCTAACAATTTTATGTGGGTTTCCGCTCTAGGTTGTATGCTGTTGGTGGACGAGACGGGAGTTCCTGCCTGAAATCCATGGAGTGTTTTGACCCTCACACCAACAAATGGAGTGTGTGTGCTTCCATGTCGAAGAGGAGAGGAGGGGTTGGTGTGGCAACCTATAATGGATTTCTATATGCGGTGGGAGGCCATGACGCTCCAGCTTCTAACCACTGTTCCCGCCTTTCTGATTGTGTAGAGAGGTATGATCAGCAAAGGAGTTACATTTCAGCAGCCTTTGCTATGCAATGAATCACATCTTTTAGATGCTTCAACAGTATGCAGGCTTTTTTGTGTGTTTTAAAATCATCCTGGACTTTTAAATTAAAAGCCAGGGTCTCCACAAAAAAGGGATTTTTTTAAAAAAAAGCTATATTACCCATACCTGACATTTCCTAAATATGGTTAAAGAAAAATAGAAAAAAAGTAAAAAAAAATTAAAATAAAACCAAAAACGTGGGGGCACCTTAAAGACTAGCTTTTATGTTATTATAATTTATTATATTATTATATTTTAAATATGATCTCTCTCTCTCTCTCTCTCTCACACACACACACACACACACACACACAAACACACACAGACAATATCTGGAATAAATGGATCTTCAGTTTAATATTGAATGGTAGCTATGAATCATTAAATTCTGCATTTCCACACTCGTTTCAGAATCTCCCAGAGGCTCTTGCTCCAAGATTGTTTTCCAAGTGTAATAAATTAATTCGTTGCAAAGGCGGGCAATCTATCAAATAAAACTGTTTTAACTAGTGCATAATACTAAACATTACTGTGAATTATAGCCGCTGTATAAGAAATGCTTTCCCTTTTCAAACAGCAAGAGATTCAGGAAAGGCTGATGGACTGTCTCATTATTGGTATGGCATACTTCAGGGAGATTCGAATTATACAACACCTCAGTTATTTTGTGATACAACATGATTACAAGACAGAACTGGATGATGGGTTTAGAGAGTCCTCTAGTGGTTAAAGGAGACATGACAAACGATTCCAGTAGTCTCCCTCTGTTTGCTATAGAGTTGAATCAAAACTAGAGATGGGGACGAATATAAAAACTGATCGCTTTTTCTGACGAATATAGCCGATTCGTTAAATATTTGTTGATCCTTATTTTTGGGTTCCAGAGACCCCCATGAATATGAAGGGGCAAATATTTATCCATTTTTATTCATCCTTGTATTAAAAGAAAAACAAAAAATACCATTTTGCCTACCGGCCGCCAATCGGCTGATTGGCAGCAGAAAGGCAGCCACCCCCACAGCCACCCAATATCACAGCCTACCCCATCCCCTTCCTTTCTCTACCTTAGGCCTCACACCACACCACCCCCACCGACACCCTCTTACCTTAATCGCTGCTGCCGAGGTCTTCTGTCACATGTAAAAATGGAAACTGGCTGCCCTTTGCAAAGATGGCAGCTGCAGCTTCATTTAGGATAGGGAAGCTGCAGCTGCCATCTTTGCAAAGGGCTTCCAGCCTCACTTTTTACATGCCGTGGCTGCGAAGTCCTGATGGAGACCTCGGCAGCAGCTATTAAGGTAAGGGGGTGTTGGTGGGAGTGGGGTGGGGGCTAAGGTACAGAAAGGAAGGGGGTGTGGGATAGGCTGTTGGGGTGGCTGGCTGTGTGTGTGGGTGGCTGCCTATTGGCTTCTGATCAGCTGATTGGTGGCTGGTAGGCAGAATGGGCTTCTGTGCCTTGTGGTAAACTCTCCTGGGGGGACCCAATTTGTGGGTGAATAACTTGGATGCCCAATATCCAATCTTTACCAAAGTTGCCTGTTGTGTTGGGGAAAGGCATAAATGCTCCGTTGTGATTCTGGAGTATCTAAGTACCTGGGGGGAGCTTTCCTGGGGGTCCTCTTTGTGACTATATAACTCGGGGGTCCGTGATTCAGTGTTCACCAAACTTTCAGGAACAGTAGAAAGGCATCTGAGGAACCTTCCCTGCAAATTTAGTGTCTCTAGATCATCGGGGGCCAGTGTTACAGCCATTTAAAATGCAGATGAATTGACAGATCAATCCATCAATCCATTGAAGAATATTCGTATATTTGTATTTGTTGATCCGTTAACGTTGACGAATAACGAATCAAAATGAATCACCATTTTTTTTTATTTGTCCCCATCTCTAATCAAAACACTCTAAAGGGAATACATCTTTTCCGCTTTATAAAGTGTGAGCAGGCCTTCTACTCAAACATTTTTGGAACATGTCTCCAACCACCTTCTTTTGTTGCTGGTCTATTCCATGACCCTCCATGCTCTGTATTCCTTCTTTTGGCAGGAAATATTGCTTCATTTTAGAGTCAAGTACAGGAAGGGATACAGTGACTGACTAGGACTCAGGAAGCCTGGATCTGAGTCCGTTGCTCAGACATAGAAGCTTACTGGGCGTGTGCAACTGGTAAAACCCCTCTTTGCCTTGAAAACCCTATTAGGGTCGGTACAAGTCAATTCCGACTTGAGGGCACATAACAACAACACAGTCAAGAAAGAGTGAGGGCACAAGTAAGGAGCAATCCTGTCTGTCTTTCCTCCGATTTGGCTTCAGAGCAATGTCATCCAAATGAGAGAAGGAAACAACATTTCCTGTCATGAGGAGGAAAGTGTAGCAGGAAGTTGTGGGAGGAGCATATGGTCCCAATTTAAGAAACTGAATGGTGCATATGGAGAGTTAAAATATCTTATTTCATTTTAAATTCTCACTCCACCATGGGATAGCTAAAGTTGCCTTCCATCTCCAGAATGTGAAGCTGTGTAAAGGTGTGTTTGTGCACATGCCTCTCTGTGTGGTAGATTTTAGTTTAGCTCTGTGTCAGTAACAGCCATAAAAATGCCTTGCAAATTGGTGGTCAACATATTTAGAATTGTGCAGTCTCTTATTATTTAAAAACCACTCCAAACAATTATTATGTTAAATTAGTTCATTTCGTATTCCAGGTATGATCCTAAAACAGATACTTGGACAACTGTAGCACCATTGAGTGTGCCTCGTGACGCCGTAGGAATCTGTCCTCTTGGAGATAGGTTGTATGCAGTTGGTGGCTATGATGGCCATACCTACCTGGACACAGTGGAATCTTACGATGCACAAAACAATGAATGGACAGAGGTAATTTCCTCCAGCTTCTTCTTGTTTCATTACCAATATAACCTTGTGTGTCACTTTTCCTCCCCCAACTTTACCATGTTCAGCTTCTTAGAAATATCCTGCTGTGTTCAATTGCTTCATTCTTTCTGCCTTGCTGCTCCTTACACCTGGATCTCTCTCTTACGACACCTGTTTGACACAGTCTCTCACTCCTCAAATCCATCTCTGGTCTCCTGCATCTGATGGTCTTTTCTCTGTATGGAAACAAAAGTTTCGGTCTGCGGATTAAGCTAGGTGATATGTTTACTATGCCTGTTACTCTTTGTCATATATAATTTCTCCCTCACCTATGTATCTTGTATTTAGTGATTTGTCACTTGGAGGCGAACATGGGCTTCCCTGTATCTGAAGGGAACAGTATCCACAGTTTCGCTTCTCTGTGGTCTGAAAATATTTAAAATATTAAAAGGAAAAAAAACGACAAATAAAATATAAAAAATATTAAAAGAAAAAAAAAGACAAATATACAGCGGTAGCTCAGTTTATGAAAGCCTTGCGTAATTTTCAGTTTACGAACTGAAATCCATAGAAAATAATGGTTCAGTTTAGGTTTCCCCAGGATGCATTGCGCCTGGAGGTTTCTAGGCCCACCCCCCTTCCTAGCACAATCCGTGTATCAGTTTATGAAATTTCCACATTATGTAATGTCCTGGAGGATGCATTAATTTCGAAGACCGAGGTATGCCTGTATTTTTTCATTTATGAAATTTCCACATTATGTAATGTCCCGGAGGATGCATTAATTTCGAAGACCAAGGTACGCCTATATGTATTTTCTCAGTGTATTTACAAGAACAGGCCACTAGAGGGAGCCAGAGAGCATTCTATGTATTCTTGTTGTTGAAGTATACATTTCTGGCTTCCTCTAGTGGCCAGTTCTGGTAAATACACTGAGAAAATACATATTTCTGGATTTTTTTCTTTTATCATTCTATGGAAAGCATTCAGTATTATCCACTGTTTCCAGCATCACTAGCCGGGGCGAGGGCTTCAAACTAATCCCCAGTGGACACAGGAGACCTACTGTACATATTCTCCTGAATATTTAGTTTGGTGATAATAAATTTGCATCCTCACTTGCTTTTACCTCAGTCTTCTTCCCTTCCAAATTTGTCAAAATTTACTTTGAAAGTTTTTCAGGATAATGTCCTACTTAAAAAATATGCTTGAACTGTGAGATACAATTTATATACAGAGCTTCAAAAAAGCACAAACAAATAGAGGAGATACAACACATGTACAATCCATATCGGTGGTGAATCCGAGAGAGCCAGTGCTGCGCTTTGATTCACCCCTCATGCCAGCAGATCAGTACTAAATTTCAGTGAACTAGAGGAGGACCTTTGCTGCTCCATATTAGTGGGAAGGAGTGAACCCTGGAGGGACTAGTCTTGCAGATGTATCATAAATGCACTCAATTCATCTCCAGGCATGGGTGGAACGAAGCATGTTCTCAGGAGCTATCCTGATGTTACGCCTTCTTTCTGCTCCAGTGGATCAGCCCAAAGAAGCTATGTGGGGTGTCTCTCAGAGGTTCAGACAGCATCCTTCAGATAAGGCCCCTTTGTAACAAAGGAGTGGATGCTAGATAAGTTCCAATGAAGGCATCCTACAATGTGTTGGCCTGCTGAATCCCACCACTGCCCCTTTGTAACAAAGGAGTGAATGCTAGATAAGTTCCAAGGAAGGCATCCTACAACTGAGGTCCTTCATTTAGCAGCCTCTGATCCCACCTGCCCAGGATCCAAAGATAAGGGAACTTGGATCTACGTAAATCTTAATGATCTCAGGAAAGATTATACCTGGGGGGGCCTTCCAATATCTCACAGCTTGCCATGTCACCATGCATAGTCTCTGTTTGGAGACAGCATGGCCTATTCATTGGCCAAAGCATATTACTTGTACATGCCTTTTAGTGACAATGGGGAAGCAGGCACATTTTCCAGTTTACCCAGTTTCCATGTTTTTCTTTATGTATACATTGCCTGGTCAACTTTACATCAACATGCCTGCCAAGAACTGAAAAGAATTTCATAGTAACCACGAATTTATGCAGATTGTGGTCTGTGGGACCATCAATGAAAATGGCTGCAAATCATTTGGTTTCGCAGCAATTTGTAACTAATTCAAGGTAATAAATAATGTAAGCAGCAGTTGGAAAGTCATTTTTTAGAAGCAACAGATAACGTTGAGTGTAAAAAGTAACACTTAGTAACATCAAAAGTTGTTCTTAAAGGACATTTTTAAAAGATTTGTAGAGGCATTACTATATAGTAATATATATAGTAGGAAATCTCAGCTAGAGTAGGCTCATTGGATCAGTGAGGATTTTGTGGGTCAACTTCTCTGTAAGTTTCTTTGATTCAATTACTGAATAGATGGATTAGTGAGGTATCTGCCTATGGAACCAAAAGTTAGGAGTTTGATTCCTCACTGGTCCGCCACCACCCTCTTGATTAACTTACCCAAGAGTGGTATATTAGGAAACGGGCTGATAGTTATTAAGATCATTTGATGCTAAATTTGATTTCTTTGAGATGGTCCTAATAATGGTTTCTTTTAAGAAGGAAGGCAGATATCTTTCCTATAGAGATGCATTGAGGATATATCTCGTCCATTTTTTAGTCAACTCCTCTGCTGGTTTCAGGAGCCATATTGGGCAAGGATCGAAAGAAGAGTTGGTGGCTTTGCAGCATGCAATTGCCTTGTCTACATGCTCAGGTTTTTTTCAGCTGGAACTGATCCAATTTATCCTGGCTAGATGAATAAAGAGGTTTACCACCAGAAGAAGGGAATGGCAAACAACTTCTGAGTACTTTATACCTAGAAAACTCTGAAATGGGTCGCCATAAGTCAGAAGCAACATGATAGTTGCAATGCAATGGGTTACGTATGCAAATTGGAGCACGAGTAACCACAACAGTAACCTGGTAGATAAGGAGTAATACAATGAATATCTTTTAACATTATAGTCTTCAATGAAGCAGCATGTTAGTTGTTTTCAACATGTTAGGAGTAGTTTTCGATGAAGCAGCGTGCATGTTAGTCTGTGAAAGCATATCAGACACAAATAAAAACAAAAATAATTCTTAAATCCCCCAGATTTTAAATTGCTGATCTTTGCAATCTTGGCTCATTTCGATCAAGGATAGGCAAACAGGGAAGATAGGGGAACATTGGGCATCACAACATTGGGCCCACACCCAATGTAGAAAAAAAGCAAGCCACAAATGTCCAGAAGTTTATTTCTAGTTTGGAAATAATGGGAGTTTAAGCCATTAAAAAAGGCTTAGTTGGTTGCAACTCATATGCAGTGGTTCACCCCCCCTCCCACGAAAGAAAGCCCTCAAAATGTGTATCTGCAGGCTGAAAAGAGCCGCTAAGGGAGCTGTAAAATCTCCTTGAGAGAGAGAGGTGGGTCTCACGCAGTGCATGGTTCCACCCCCTGCTTTGACTGAGAACGTTCTTTAGAAGGTGTTAATAATCCGTCTTTTGTTTTATAGGAAGTTCCAGTCAACATAGGAAGAGCCGGTGCTTGTGTTGTGGTCATAAAGCTGCCATGACAGACATTTCCAGGTGTGAAATAATACAGAAGTGCAACTTGACAAACCAGCATGGTAGGAGAGAGAAGGAAATGTAGCCTTGAAAAGCCATTCACCCTGCTTTCATTACAGAAAGAGAAGTGAAAAAGAAGAGCCGGTCAGGCACTTGATCATGGAAACAGCATTTCTCCGAATTCCAAAGACAAACTCGGCAGGTGTTCGGTCATCGCAGTGACTCACGGGCAAGATCTGGGAACACACAGTACTTTTAAAAGGAGAGAGAAAATGAGGGAGTGGGGAGAGGAAGGGAAAAAAATGTTAACTGAGGACAACCCCGACTCATTGTCAAGGAGAATCGACAATACAGGTCAAAATGAATTGTGTGCTGCTGCATTTACTTGCCATTCTGACATAATCACGGCTCAGCATGGGGGGAAAGGGGGGAGAGAAGGCCTGTGGAACCAGGAAACTCCATGTTAGAGATTTAAATGTTCCATCATTTCATTCTCCCAGCTGAGAAACAGAAGCCAATGTCAAGAGCCCATTAGGCCAGATTCTGAGCATTTCACATTACAGCACATTTTTTGGTGAAACATTTATGGAAGAGTATTTTTGTGCCAAAAAAAAAAACACACCTCTGCTTAGCACAGAAAATGTATTATATGCATAATGGAAGGTTTAAAAGTGCGAAATACAAGGTTTGTTTTGTGAGTGTGTGTGCAAGACCTGATTTTGTGGGGAGGGGGCTAATATTGCTGCTAATGAGAAAAAGGGCTGGTGCATTGCTCTAATGCATAGCAGGTGACCATTTTCTGCACTACAATTTCTTGACTTCTACACACACACCCCTTTTTAAATGAGACTGAAAAAATGTATTACATCTTCACTCCATACTCATCATACTGGTTGGTCCCTTTGTGTGCAAGACCTGATTTTGTGGGGAGGGGGCTAATATTGCTGCTAATGAGAAAAAGGGCTGGTGCATTGCTCTAATGCATAGCAGGTGACCATTTTCTGCACTACAATTTCTTGACTTCTATACACCCCCCCCTTTTTTTTAAATGAGACTGAAAAAAATGTATTACATCTTCACTCCATACTCATCATACTGGAAATCTTGGTCCCTTCCTTCCCCTTAGTTTTGTATAGCTAGAGTCAATACCTGGCTCTATGGACAGCTGTCAGGGTTCCCGTACCCAGGAGGAACCATGGCTGATGAATGCTCTAGCCCAGCACTTGATGGGTAGATGGACCTAGCAGCCTGTTGATGTCCTGCAATGGCCTTGACATAAGATCTCCGTGGATCTCGGTGGCAAATGAAAATTGTCCAGATCCAACACATGATGGGGGGCCTTGCAGCCAGAGAAGACCACCTGGGGGAGGAGGGTGCATAACAGAGGGATGGTTTGTCCCAGAGCTTGGAAATGTTGCATTTGGATTTTGATGGCTATTACAGTGGCAAGGCTGCTTCCTGGGAGCGATCATTCAAAAATGTGACTTTCTTGTCTTTCTCTGCCCACAGCATCTTTAGACCTTGAGCTGATCCTGATTCTTTGGCTTTGGAGATAATTGCCACGGAAGGGAAGTGTGGTAGCTCTGTTTCTGTCTCTGATGTGCCACAACCAATTTCCTGGTCTCCGTTGCTTTATGTCTGTTTTAATGTCTCCTATCCCTGATTCTTTGGCTTTGGAGATAATTGCCACTGAAGGGAAGTGTGGCAGCTCTGTTTCTTTCTCTCCTCAGATCACGCAATGAGACCAGTGGTTTTACTTTAGCTGTGCAGTAGGGTGTATGTGTAACAAGAGTACTAATGGTCCCACAACACAATGAGAGCCTCTGGCAACTCTTCAGACTTCTACTGTTGAGCAACGGCGTTTTTTTTTTGGACCAAACCTAGAAGTGACCACTTACCCCTTCAAAGCCCAAGCTGCCTGAGAGACTGATGTTCCACCACCAATTTCCTGGTCTCCATTGCTTTATGTCTGTTTTAATTTCTCCTATCCATCTATCATTCCATAGGGCTTGTTGTTGTTGTCCTTGTTGTGGTTTGGTCAGACTAGAAAAGTCAGCTGCAGAGGTAATAAAGCTGCAGAAACAGCCATCAGAAGGACAAGACAGACAAGTTCAGAAGATGGTTAGGCCAGACAGAAACATCCATGAGGCTAGCATGTGGATGCCAAGGGTTTCTCAGGGTGGAGAGAGGAAAGTGTTTTCCTTAACCAGAATCCTAAATTGATTTATCATTTTAATATAACAGATACATGCACTGCGACAGAGTGGTGCTAACTCTGTGTGCAAATTATGCAGCATTTCACTATAAAATTTGTTCCTTTCATCAGTCTCCCAGACTCCTGAGGATACCTTTCAATTACACTAGGATGTCAAGTATTCAAGAGAATACTTCAAATTATTAATCAATGAAACTGTTTTAGCAAAAAGGGAACAACTTCCAGATCTGGTATGGACAACTCATAAGGCTGAAGGAGTGATTATTTTAAAAGACCAAGCTAGGAGATCTGTTCAGGTAACAAAAAAAGGCTTGATTTGAAAGTGGGAGCTGGGGAAGCATTCAAAATGCAATGCAATGGTCTATCAATGTTGTGCCTGTGTTGCCAACAGGAAAAGGATGCTAAGCTTTACAAAACAAAGGTTAACTTGAATGTAGACAACACCAATGTCAAGATGGTCTAAAGGATCCTCTCTTGTGCTCAGTACCATTCAGAAAGAGACATGAGGCAAGGGAAAAATCTCAGGACCTGATTCCTGAGATATAAAGCCTAAAACATCTTGAGGGTCAAAGGTGAAGAATTGCTGATTTGGAAGACAAATGCTACCTTGCAAGCTTCCAGGAGCGAGATACTTCTCTTTATGATGGATTTTTTTTTCCTGGTTGAGGAAGACTGGGGTGGTCTGGGGACATAAAATCAGTTTAGGATGTATATTGTCCATGTGTTGTAACATGTGGCAAGTCTTTTGGTGTACTTTCTAAGGTCATGTTGTGGATCCTGGGTCTAGAATTGATGCCACTCAATGCTTATTTCATTTTTTAAAAAAATACAAAGTTTCAAATGAAGATGACACATACAATTTGGGTCTCGATAAAACCAGCTTGTTGCTATGATTGCACCAATTTCTATGCATCCCATGATTCCGTGGGCTGTCTTTGCTTCAGCAACCCATTTGTCAGAAACATTCTGACCAATTTAGCTCTCTCTAGAGTAATGACAGGCTAAAACCCTGTCACTGATAAAACTCTAATGAAATCACACATGCAGAATCAAACTTACACAGTCTATATCATATTGATATGAGCAAGCTGTGACTGCCAAACCTCAGGATTCATTCAGATAAATATACTGCAAAGGCAGGACAGGTGAGCTGCAGAGATCCCTAAAATAAATACCATTTTAGCTTGAAAAGATGTTGAATATTAAAAGAGCGAGCAAGCCTATTTTCACTTGCTATGGAGCGGAAGGAAAGGATGAAACACACATCCTTAACTAGCAGGTAGCTGCTGCTGTTATCTGTGCTTAGGGCATAGTGCAATTCTGCTGGAAGGCAGTAGGTTAGGAAAAATGGGAATAGACAGCAGGAGATTAGGTGGATCCATGATTTGACTCAGAATACCTCTGGTCTAAGGGGTGAACTTTCCAACTTTGGAAACCACCGAGGGCTGCACCATCCATTCCTTCCATTGGAGAGTATCCATTTCAAAGCTTGAAGATGGCCTCCCAATTGATCAGCTCTAGTAGATATCCTCATGTTTCATGGCGTTCCATGCAAACCTGCATCTCTGCTTGCGCCTATACTTAATGGAGGAAGAAGTGCTGGTTACAAAAAGGCTGAAAGGGGGGGAGGAGTGCTGGAAGGCGGGGGTGTTGTGTTTCTGGCATGGAGTTTCTGTCCCTCTGCTTCAGGGCTAGAAATCACATGACAGTGTTGTTTCTTTCAGTCTGCAGAAACACCGTCAGCACAACCCGTGATTTTGTCCCTTATACAGATGGGCATGAACCACCGGTTCAGCAGGATATGCTGGTTCAGCCAATGACTGCACAGCTGTTCCACAGTTTGGTGCTCCACCCCCTCAGACACCCACTCAGGGGCAGCATCCAGAGGAGGCAGGGCAGGGAGGATGGAGTGCTGCATCCACGTGGGTGGCTGCTGGAGGGGGCAGGATGCCAAACCGCAGAACAGCTGCACGTTCATCAGTCGAACCAGCATGAACTGCCAAACCGACACTTCATGCCCATCTCTAGTCCTTACAAGTCAAATAAGCTTTGAAAAATAATTTATGTTCCTTTTGAGGAAAACAGACGAACAACATATGAAAATATTTCTTCTTTACCATTGTGTGTTTATGAAGAATGTTTTGGTATATACAAAGGAATGTGGCACTGTATATATGTTTTACCCTGCTGAAAAATTATATAGGCATTTTATGTTTTCAGGCACAGTATTTTATGATTTTTTTTCTTTTTAAAAATGTCTTTGTGGTTAAGAGGTAGCTTTTTTTCCAATGACCAACAACACGGACATGACATTGTACATCTAGCCAATGTACTGTTTTCAGAATGGTCTTTTATGCAAGTTGCAAAATAAAAATAAAAATGAATAGACTGTGGGACAACTTAGGAGAAAAAGGGAGGTGGTAGATGGATGATGAAAACTGTGTCCTGTTTTTAAAATTCCTGATACATTTAAACAACTGGAAAAAAACCCTTTTATTTATAGAATGGCACATATAGCATGCGCTGAAATAAAGATTGCTTTCTCTGACAAGTAATTTCTAGTGCATATTTTATTTTGGTGTCATCCCCACATCATTTTTGCTACACCAGACAACAAACAAACAAAAAACACACAACTAAAAGTGAAGATTTCATTAGTAGTATGGAATACATTTTATTTTTTAAAAGCAACAGCCAGAATCTATGACTATTTATGGCTGCATAAGTGTATTGCCATAACTTGGAGGGGCAAATAGCCACTAATTAATAAGTCCCTGATCAAATTCCTATTTGGGTGCTGAGTGTTGCAGCTAGCATACTACTAGGAATTCAACCTGGGAGTTGTTGATCTGTGGGTTTCCTTTCCATTGATCAGAGTTACACTGATGTACTTATAAAGGTGTAAATCTTCACTAGGTTTCTGGCCATCAGTTTAAATAATGATTCTGCACGTGGAAACATAAAAAGGTAAGTTAGAAAAACACATCAAACAGGAAAAAAAGGGGAAGGGAAGTAGAGGGGAAGAAAAAACACTTAAGATTCGGTGAAAGCCAAACTTCCAGTTACACCACTTAGCAGGTTGTCAGTGTTGTGTGGTGGGTAGAGTAATGGATTAGGATTCTAGACACCAGGATTTGAATCTTGATGGAGGCTCACAGGGGGGTTTGAACTGGTAAAAGCCACACCACTTAGCAGGTTGTCAGTGTTGTGTAGTGGGTAGAGGGCATCATTTGGTTATGAATTGTCCGTGGTTTTACCTTGAAAGCCCTTTTAGGGTTGCTGTCAGTCCGTTCCTACTTGATGGCACATAGAGGGAGGACAAAACTAACCAGCTCTTAGCAAGGGAACTTTTGAGGGGATTTTTTTGGGGGCGGCGAGAAGGGGCATCATTTGGTTATGAAT